CAGGGCACATGTGCGTGCGTGCCCAAGATCCCTAGAGGAGAATGAAGGAGAAGGGATTGCGGCATGGCCATCTCCCCTGGGGGCTGATTTCTCACTTTCTGTCTCTATGTCTCTCTCTGTCTTTCTGGTGGGTGCACGCACCCTATAGCAAAAACCTCTCCGAAAAAAAAGGGCAATCAGAGAAGAAAAAGAATAAAAGTCATTGAAATAAAAAAATGAAAATATAAATTGTATCTATTTGCAGATGACATAAATCTATATGTAAAAAATCTCAAAGATTCAGCAAAAAACCTTAGAACTAATAACTGAATTTATCAAAGTAGCAGTATACAAACTCTACACACAGAAAGTAGTAGTATTTTTACAGACAAAGAATGAACCTGCTGAAAAAGAAATCAAGGAAACTATTCCACTTTTGATCGCATCAAAATAAAAGAAAATAGGGGGACCAGCAGTTAGCGTAATGGCTCTGTCACTGGACTCCCACGTAGTTGACCGTGGTTCGAGTCCCGGACCCGGTGGCTTAAACTCACGCCAGGCGCGTGTGCATGCGTGCCCAAGATCCCAAGAGGAGAATGAAGGAGAAGGGATTGTGGCGTGGCCATCTCCCCTGGGGGATGATTTCTTGCTTTCTGTCTCTCTGTCTCTCTCTGACTGTCTGGCAAGCGCATGTGCCCTATAGCAAAAAAAACCTCTCCAAAAAAAACAAAGAAGAGAGAAAAGAAAAGAAAACCTAGGAATAGATTTAATCAATGAAATGAAAGATTTGTACACTGAAAAAGACAGAAGAAATTAAAGACAAAAATAAGTAAAAATGTACTTTATAATTATACTGAAGTACAGATTACTCTGGAGAAAACATAGAATTTATTTTATTTACTATGAATCAGAAGAATTAATATAACAATATAATTATTAAATTATATAATTAATAATTGTTAATGTGTCCATAGTCTCAAAAGCAGTGGCCAATGTATTCTCTATCAAAACAATTACAATGGCATTCATTACAGAGCTCAGAAATAAATTTATACATATATAATCAACAAATTTTTTAAGTATTTTTTTTTACTTTTTTCACGAAAAACAGAGAGAGAGAAGTTCCCTCACAGAATCTTATACTTGCTCTTTTCCAAAAAGAGAGAGAGAAGCTCCCTCACAGAGTCTCATACTTGATCCTTCCCTGACTCCAGCCTTTACAGTCAGACAGGCATGTACACCCAGCATATGAGGTTGATCAGGGAACTCTGGATCTTCCATATGGATCCAGCATCAATTGAACTGTATGTTACTGATGCTCCACTGAGCCAACCCATACAGTCAATTAACTTTGACAAAGATGCCAAAAGGACACAATGAAAAATAATAATCTCTATGAGGCAAACATCACCTTGAGATCTAAGCTAGATTAAGATATTAAAAGAAATAAAATTAGAGATAATTTAAAAAAATAAATATTGATCCAAAAACCCTAAATGGTGCTTATAAATCTGGATTATTATTTTTTTTTAAGAGGTTTTCACTATAGGGCGCATGCGCTCGCCCGACGGACAGAGAGAAACATAGAGACAGAAAGCGAGAAATCACCCCCCAGGGGGGATGGTCACGCCGCAATCCCTTCTCCTCCATTCTCCTCTCAGGATCTTGGGCACGCACACACACGCGCCCGGCGTGAATTTTAAGCCACCGGGTCCGGGACTCGAACCGTGGTCGACTACGTGGGAGTCCAGCAACATAGCCATTACGCTAACTGCTGGTTCCCTAAATCTGGATTTTCACATGGAAAAGAATTAAATTAGACCTGTAGGTTATACCATACACAAATATCAAGACAAAATAAAAAACAAAGAAAAACAAACAAAAAACTAAATATAAGACCAGAAACTATGAAATTTCTAGAAGAGAACACAGGGGAAAAGCTCCTGGATATTTGCCTTGGCAGTGAGGTTTTTGAAATGACACCATGGAGCTGGCAGATGATGTGGCAGTTAACGTAACTGGCCTCCCACATGGCTGACTGTGGTTCAAGTCCCAGACCTGGCAGCTTGCTTTCTCACTTTCCTTCTCTCTGTCTCTCTTTGGTCAACTTCAAAAAAAGAAAAGAAAAGAAAAGAATGACAATGAATAAAATTGAATAAAATAATTCTTAAAAAAAAAGTAGTCACACCAAATGCTCAGGCCACAAAAGCAAAAATGAATAAGTGAAACTATTGCAAATTAAAAGTTTGTACACAGCAAAGAAACAATTAACAAAATGAATAAATGAAACTATTGCAAACTAAAAAGTTTATGCACAGCAAAAAAAAAACAATTAACAAAATGAAAGTACAGCCTAAAAATTGGGAAAATTATTTGCAAACCATATATATATATATATACAAAATAAGGGACTAAGTTACAAAACTTATAAAGAATTCAAAAATCACAATATTGGATGAAAACAAAAACAAAACCAAAAAACCTCTATTAAAAAATGGGCAGGAAGACCTGAACAAACATTTCTCCAGGGAAGACATTAAGATGGCCAACAAAGATATGAAAAGATGTTCAACATTATTAATCATCAGGGAGATGCAAATCAAAATCACTATGAGATACTACCTTACACCCTTAGTGTCCCGACCCGGGGGAACAGCCGAACAGGTTTCCTGAGTGAAGGAGTGAGAGCCGGGACAAGCGGCGTAGTGTTACAACACTGAGACGACAGTGTCGTCTGTTTATTGTGGGCAGCACGGTACAGCACAGAGACGACGCAGTGTCGCATTGTCTACTGTGAGCAGCACGGAGACGACGGAGTGTCACAGCTCTTCAGGGTCGCGTCGTCTACTGTGAGCAGCACGGAGACGACATGGTGTCACAACTCTTCAGGGTCGTCCAGAGACAATGTAGTGTTACAACTCTTCAGGGTCTCCCAGGTCGTCTGGAGACGATGCAGTGTCAGCTCTGCAGGATCTTCAGGGTCGTCTGGAGACTGCGCTGTGTTTCAGCTCTTCAGGCTCTTCAGTTGTCGTCTTCCTGGTCGTCGTCGTCTGGCTACTGTGGGCCAGGCATCGTGGTTATATACACTCTGGTGGGTTGTAAACGGTGGGCCGTGATTGATTGTAAATGGTGGGCCCTGATTGGTTGTTAACGGTGGGTTATGATTGGTTGCTTTTGGACCAATCATGAGGTGCTGAATATGCAAATTTGAGGGATTCTAGTGGCCAATCAGAGCAAGGTTTCGAAGGTCAGGTTTTTGGAAGGGAACCAATCATGGTAATTGTTTGCTCTCTGAGAAACCTCGGCAGACTCGCTGGTGCGCAGCTTCCCACACCTTAGAATAGCTATTTTTAAAAAGTCAAAAGGTAACAATAACAAATGTTAGATTGGCCCATACCACAATTATTAAATGCCACGTGAAAGGAGCCAAATTGCACATGGCTGACTGTGATTCAAATATCAGCCTCAGGGGCTTGAAAAACACCAGATGTGTTTATATGCATGCCCCTAATCCTGGTGGAATGGAGGACAGAGTTGTGACCACTCCTCAGTGGGGATGCTTTCTCTTTCTCTCTGGCAAGCATATGCCCTTTGTTTAAAAAAAAAAAAACAAAAAACAAAAAAAAAAAAACTAAAGGCAAATGTTGGGAGCCAGCAGGTGGCATGGTGGTTAAGGTGCTGAACTTCCACATGGTCGACTGTGATTCAAGCCCTGAACCTGGTGGCTTGAAAATCATGCCAGATGCATGTGTATGCATGCTCAAAATTATCTCTGTGTCTCTCCATCTCTCTCTCCCTCTCCAGTGAGTGCATGTGCCTTGTGGCAAAAACTTAAAAAAAAAAAAGGCAAATGTTGGTGAGGATGTGAAAGAAAGGAAATTCAAGTACATTGTTGGTGGGAGTGTAGGATGAGATAGCCATTAAGAAAAACTGTATGGAAGTTGCTAAAGAAATTAAAAATAGAACTTTTCATGATCAAGTAATCTCTCTTTTGGGAATATACCAAAAGGAAATGAAATTACCACCACAGAAATATTTTTGTACCCCCATGTCTACTAAAGCATAATTTAATATAGCTAAGGTATGTGAAAAAACCTAAGTGCCCATTGACAGAACAGATAAAGAAATTGTGGTATGTGTGCACAATGAAATATTATTTAGCCCTAAAAAAGGAGAGTGACCAACAGATGGCATATGATTATGTTGCTGGACTCCCATGTAGTTGATCATGGTTCGAGTCCCAGGCCCAGTGACTTAAAACTCACAACGGGTACATGTGTATGCATACCCAAGATCCTAAAAGGAGAATGGAGGAGAAGGGATTGCAGTGTAACCATCCACCGGGGGAGGAAGAAGGATGATTTCTTGCTTTCTGTCTCCCTGTTTCTCATTGTCTCTCCGGTGAGCACACACACCCTATAGCAAAAACCTCTCTCTCTAAAAGAAAGGAAATGTCATTTGCCACACATACATGAGACTAGAGGACATTATGCTAAGTAAAAGAAGTCAGACATAGAAAGAACAATATTGCATTATGTCACTTATATGTGGAACCTAAAAAAAAAGTCAAATACACAGTGGTAGAAAACAAAACAGTGGTACTCAGGGGCAGCAGGTGAGAAGGAAATGGGGAAACGTAGGTCAGAGGACACAAAGTAGCAGATACACAGGATGAATATATCTAGGATCTAATGTATGACATGAGGACTATAGGTAATGAAATTGTACTGTACATGAAATTCATGCTAAATAAGTAGATTTGGGTTGCTCTTGTCACAAAAAAACAAAAGAGTAATTATGTGAGATGAGGATGTGTTAATTTGCTTCACTAGAGTAACATTTTTACTATCTATACTCATCCCGTAACATCAAGTTTTATACCCTATCTCATCAACAAATGGTGTAACCGACATGTCTAACTTAGGTTACACCATACACAGAAATCAACTCAAATGAATACACACACACACACACACACACACACACACATATGACAAAATAAACATACACAATAAAATTTTTTTTTTAAAAAAAACAAGGCTATTGAATGGGACCAGCAGATGGCATAATGGTTGTCACTAGACTCTCATGTCGTCGGCCACGCGTCTAGTCCCAGATCCAGCGGCTTAAAACTCACACTGGGAATGTGTGTGAGTGTGCCCAAAATCCCAAGAGGAGAATGGTGAAGAAGGGATTATGGCATGGCCATCCCCCTGAGGGGTGATTTCTTGCTTTCTGTCTCTCTCTGTCTCTCCAGCAAGCACATGTGCTCTATGACAAAAATCTCTCTCAAAATAAAAAGGCTATTGACAGTTTCCACTTGGTGTCCAGCTCATATTTGGTTAGTGTGTGCGAGTGCATGTGTGTGTTCCTGATAATGTATGTGCATGTGAAAGAAGAGAGAGTGAAGCCCTCCACAGGACAGGCCACTCTGCAATACCCTTCTTCCAGTCTCTTTAGGACCCTGTGTATACATGCATGTGTCTGGTGTATCTCAGGCCAACCAGACTGGAAATTCAAAGAAATTCGAACCATGGTTTGCATGTGGCTTCCAACTCTATAGTCCAGTATGCTCCAACTGAGCCACAGAGGTTGGCCATCATATCAGATTTAAACGAACAAATAATTGTCATGTACAAATCAAAAGAAACAGGAATATTTGAAGAAATTAGAGATTTTAACTGCGACCAAAATAAAACAATCTTTTTCCAAGCTTAAACCAGTTACACATAAACAAACAAACAAAACAAAACAAAAGAACTCTAACAAGGCTAGTCCTGTATCACAGAGGTTGTGTTGTGCACTGGGAGCTAGATCTCACATGGCCAACTATGGTTCAAATTCTGGCCCTTATGGTTTGAAAAACATACCAGGCATGTGTGGATATAGGTCCAAACCCCGTTAAGGAGAAATGAGGAAAGAGACTGTAGGTCACACTAGAAGGTGTTTTCTCTCTCTCTGGCAAGCACACATACCCTCTGGAAATTTATATCTATATAGAGATGTATATCTCTTATCCAAGTTCTCAGAATTTATTGAACATTTAAAAATGTCTTAAATGTATTTTTGTTTTGTTTATTATGCTCATCACAAGCATTTCACAATGACCAATCAACAAATTTCTTTATAATCTTCTGAATACTTGGTTGGTTTTTTAATACCTTATTTTCCCCAATTAGGGAAAATGTCACTTCCTTTGCATTTGCCGGTGTCTGCACACTGCTCCTTAGATCCAGCTACATTTCAAAACATGGAAACAAGTACTTAGTAAAGCTTATTTGAATTTCCACATGAGACAGAAGTCAACATTACAGTAACATTAGACTGAAAATAGCTCATCACAAGGCATAAGGAACTAATTTTAATACTAGATATGATAATGGTAAAATAAAAACGTCTCCTTTTCAATTATATAATGTTATTAAGATGTGATACTTGACTTCCTCTCCACAAATTTGATACAGTACAATTCTCATCATTTCTTATTTCTTGTAAGGACTCAGGATATAGCCCAAATTAATAAAGCTCAAAAAAAGGGATAGATTAAAAAAAAAATTACCACACTCATTATATCTGCAAACTAAAAATCAGGAAGACTTTCTGCCATAGATTTTAAGCCCAAATGAATAAAACTCAAAAAAAGGGATAGATTTAAAAAAAAAAATTACCACACTCATTATATCTGCAAACTAAAAATCAGGAAGACTTTCTGCCATAGATTTTAGAAATAAAGGCTTAAAGTATGGGTGAGAAGAAAGGCATTGCAGATGGGAACATTAGTAGCTCTTTATCTTTTCTGGATTGTGTAGTTTGAACCTTAACATTTAATTTATTCAAATCATGTAAATTAGGCATTAGTGACACAACTCACATAAAATAGGAAAAATAAAAAGAGAAAAGGCACATTTTTTTCGTTTGGCTCAGACCCAGGGGTAAGGACAGCAAATTGCTCTTTATTGACAAGAGTGATGTCTTTATTGGAAACACTTTCTCTTGAAATCTTCCTCATCTTGCCTAGAGACATAGTCATTTACTTAGCCACCTAAACAATGAGCCCTCAATCCTTTTCATGTCCTAGAGCTAATTAATCACTTAGCAAAGCTCAAGGATGAGCCAAATCTATCTTCTCTTCTCTGCCATATGGAGCTTGGGTCCTCACTGTCTTCTCCTGGACCTCAGTATAACTTCTAAACTAGTCTACCTGTCTATACCCTTGCCCCAATTCCCAAATTCATTCAGGCCTGTCTGATTATTCTAAATTCTCGATCTGATTAAAATGCACCCACCTCCTGTAGGGTAAATATCTAGCTTTTTTTCTTTCACTAAGAGACCCCTCATGCGCTGGTCCTAGCCCACCTGCTCTACCACATCCTTTTTCCAGTGTTGCGGTGCTGTGAAATATTTGCAATCTTGAACATATTTTGCTTACCATAAATTCTTTTTTTCCTATGTTTTATTTATACTTATTCAAAGGACTTTCCATTATCTCATTTAATGAAAAAAATTATGATAAATATTTATTAAACAATATTAAAAACACAAAACTTTTACGAAAAGCATATCACTTGTAAGATATCACAATATGGAATCCTATTTAGGGGTTCAGAAAAATAAAGGAAATAATTGGCAACTTTCAGTTTGGGAAAGATCATTTAAATGGCATAAAGTATTTTGGATAGTGGGGATCAAGACAGGTTAAGAGTCAAGTAGAAATGAAGGATGCTCTTGCATACTAAAGTTTTATCAAGTACAATTCACAGCTTGGAAAGCAGTAATAAAATGCAAATAACCATAATCAGGTCTGCAGAAGTAATATTGTTACTTTTAAAACAAGCTGCTAAGACATTTTTAAGGTTATTAAAAAATAGTCATATTAAAGTATTTTAATTTTTTAATTATTTATTTGTTGTATGTATTTTAAAAATATTTTATTTCATATATTATCATCATTATTATTTGTTTAATTTGACCAGAGAGAGAGAAAGGGAAAATAGGAAAGCAAGCCTCCAGATCTGGGACTCGAACCACGGTTGGCCATGTGAGAGTCCAGTGCCTTAACCACCACGCCACCCACCAGCTCCATATGCATTATAATTATTTTAAAGTTTGCCATAGGGCATGTGTGCTCACTAGAGGCAGAGAGAGAGGGAAGGTGAGAAAGAAAGCCACCAGGTCCAGGACTCAAACTGTGGTCAGCCATATGGGAGTCCAGCACCTTAACCACTACACCACCTGCTGGTCCCAAAATATTTTATTTCTAATCAAGTGAAACTAGTAGGAATATTATGTAACTTTGTTGCTAAAAGCTCCCTGATTTAAATGGCATGAAAATGTTCTTTATTAATTCCTTTTTAAAATGTTAGTCTTTGTGTTTTATTATCAAAATTTCAAGTTGACAATATGCTCTACAAAATGCAGTGGGTAAATAGTCTCAGTTGAATGTCAATATCAGTAGAACCTTAACTAAAATGTGTACTGTGGTTGAGGGGATGGAAAAAAGCAAGCACGCTAAAGCTAAGTATTCTTTTAAGATTTAGGTATCCTACTGCAATTTGGCAAAATAAACCATTTTCATCAGAGAATATAGAAAATAGACATAAAGTAGAATCATAATAAATTTTTTATTGTCTTATTTTTTTTTCTATTATCATAGACCAGTTGAATTTTCAGAAGCTGAATACCCGCGAATTGAATATCACAGAAGACAGCAATTTTGGGACCCTATACGGCTAGCTCTTTTCACATTGGCAATTGCAGCAATCATAGGAATTGCTATTGGCATTGTTACTCATTTTGTTGTTGAAGGTAAGTATCCAGGTCACATTTCTATTGCCTAAGTACTCCATGACTTAGTATCTTAAAATTCTCTATTGTATAAAAAAAATGACATTTGCATGAAATTAACATTTCAATTACTAATCTTTCATTGATGTTAAATTATAGTTCCTGCACTGAGCTCTGTGTAAGATATTTCTATCTAGCGAGGCTTGCAATATACATTACACTGTAGACATATCTAAAACAAACACATAATGGGATCAGCACATGGCACGATGTTTACGCTGCTGAACTCCCACAAAGCCAACTGAGGTTCAAGTTCTGAACTGGGTGGCTTAAATCTTACACTGGGCATTTGTATTTACATGCCTAAAATCCCAAGAGGAGAATGGAGGAGAAGGGATTGTGGCATAGCCATTCCCCCAGGAGAGTGATTTCTCACTTTCTGTCTCTTTGTGTTCACACGACCCTCTGCAAAAATCTCTTAAAAACAAAAAAAGAAAAAGAAAAAGAAGCACATATTAAATAGAGAAAAAGGATGAAAAGATTATCTTTAGGGTAAAGAGGAATTACATCATGTGCTGAGTTTAATACACTTTTCTCAGAACCAATATATTGATGAGTTACTTAAAGAAAAGCACATAACAAAGTTTACCTGAAAAATGTCTTCAAAGGACTCAAAATCAAGCATTAGTTTTGAAAAACAGATTGTTTCATGAGTAGGGGAAGAAGGAAAAGCTCAGAATTAATTCCTAGTTATATGCAAAAATAATTAGCACTAAAGTTAAGCCAAATGATAACCAAGATTCATATATCTCTGTCTTTGGTTTGTGTATTTGTAATCATAGGTGATTGAGACTTTACTAAAATTTTAGGCACTCATATCAGTCATAATAGTAAAATCACACTTGAAATACCTCCAAAGAAATAGAATTTTACCCAACACACTCAGCTATCTTCCTACTTACTTAACTGGGAGATCAATATAAACTATTTCTTAAAAAGCAAAATAAAAAGCATAAATCAAGTTACTCTCTTCAATTTTATCTTTCTTGTTAATGTTTTTTTTTTGGGGGGGGTAGGAAATAATGGAGCAGTTTTATTTTTAAAAAAATCCCTCCCTCCCAATGCTATAGACATTTACAAAAGAAAACTGAAGGACAAATTAAAAAATAGCCCAAAATAAAGAAAACATGATCATAGAGGCTGTAACAGGCTGAATAATGCCCCATCTCCACCCAAACATACCCATGTTCTAATCCTCAGAATCTGTGAATGTCAGCTTATACTGCAAAAGAGACTCTGAGGGATGGCTCTATGACCTAGTGGTTAAGGCAGTTGGATACCACATGGCCGACCCCACAGTTTGCATCCTAGACCAGCAGCTTGAGAACACACCAGGCAGGTGTGCGCGTGTGCCCAAAATCCAAAAAGGAGAGAGAAATGGAGGAGAAGGGGTTGTTGTGTGCCCGTTTCCCATGGGAGGTGCTTTTTTCTGTCCCTCTATCTATCTCTGTGTCTATCTCTGGTGAGCACACACACCCACAAGCAAGACTAAAATAAAAAATAAGATAAAATGAGACTTTAAGAGTATCATTAAGTTAAAGATTTTGAGATGGGAAGATTATTCTGAATTTTCTGTATGGACCCTAAATGTAGCAAGGGTTCTTTTAAGAGAGGGGCAAGAAGGTCAAAGGAAGAAGGAAATGAGATGACAAAAACAAGGGGACATTGCAGGACATTGAATCAGGGAATGAAGATAGTGTTTAGAAAAAGAAAGAAAACAGATTTCTCCCTTAGAACTTCCAGAAGGAACCAGCTTTGCCAACATTTTGATTTTAGCCCTGTAAGACTCACATCAGACTTCTCAGTTCCTGGCTATAAGAGAATAATCTGTGTTGATTTAAGTCACTAAATTTGTGGTACTTTGTTACAACTCCCGTAGGAAATTAATATAGAGGTTAACACTCTAAAATTTGAGAGATCTGTCATTAGGACTTTCCATGCAGGTAACTGAAGATTGCCTAGGTATAGAGGGACATTTAATAAAAGCAGGTAGAAGGTGGACCACAAAGAAGGATAAACAAGTAGAGGAGAATAAATTAGATGTATCTAAGATGATACTCTTGTTTAATCACTTGAATTTCCTGTTCTTATGAAGTGCAAGTGAGTTGTTTGAATTCCATATAAATGTTGGTTATCAATCCTTCATTAGAAGTATAGTTTGCAAATATATTCTTCCATTATGGAGTTATCCCTATTGTTTCCTTTGCTGTGAAAAAAATTTTAGCTTGATATAATTCCACAGTCTATTTTGGGTTCTACTTTAGATATTTTATTTAAGAAATTGTTGCCTGCTCCATTATCATGAAATGTTTTCCCTATGCTTTCTCAAGTAGTTTTATAGTCTTGGACTTTAGGCCTCCATCTATGTGAGGAGCTTTTAAGATTAATGAATAGAATCCAAATGATGTATAGAGATCAAATGTTTAAAAAATAATAAAATAATAATTTTAAAATAGGGACCAGTAGTTAGCATAATGGCTATGTCACTGAATTCCAATGTAGCTGACCGCAGTTCGAGTCCTGGACCTGACGGCTTAAACTCACACCCGGTGGGTGTGTGTGCATGCCCAAGATCCCGAGAGGAGAATGAAAGAGAAGGGACTGCAGTGTGGCCATCCCCCCTGGGGAGTGATTTTTTCCTTTCTGTCTCTCTGTCTTTCTCTGTCTTTCTGGCGAGTGCACGTGCTCTATAGCAAAAACCTCTCCAAAAACTTTTTTAAATAAAAAAATTAAAAAAGATTAAAAGATTAATGAATAAAATCATACCCACTACATCACACACTACCTGACCTCAAATATATGGCAAAGACATAGTAACCAAAACTGTGTGATACTGTCATAAAAACAGACTCATCAAACAATAAAACAGAATAGAGAACTCAGAAATAAGTACACAAATATATAGCCAAATTATATTTGACAAAGCTTAAAAGAAAATTCATTAAGAAAAGGTGGGACCAGCAGGTGATGTAATGGTTTTGTCACTGGACTTCTATGTAGTTGACCACAGTTCAAATCCCAGACCTGACGGCTTAAAATTCACACTGGGCACATATGTATTTGTACCCAAAATCCTGAGAGTAAAATGGAGGAGAAAGATTGCAGCATGGCCATCCCCCCTAGAAGTGACTTCTCATTTTCTCTCTCTCTGTCTCTCCAGCAAGTGCATGCACCTTATAGCGAAACTCTCTCTAAAATAAAAAAAAAAAAAAAAAGAAAGAAAGAAAGAAGAAAGAGAGAGGGAGAGGAAGGAAGGAAGGAAAAAAGGAAGAAAGGAAGGAAGGAAGGGAGGGAGGCAGGGAAGGGGGAAGGAAGGAAAGGATAGCCTCTTCAATAAATGATGCCAGGAAAATTGGATATTCATATTCAGAAGAATTAAACTGGACCTCTGCCTCTCACTATACACAAAAATGAACTCAAATCGAATTCAAGATTTCAATTTAAAACTAGAAGCCCTGAAATGATTAGAATAAAACAGGAGAAGCACTTCAGGACACTGGTCTAGGCAAAGATTTTTTTCAATTAAGACCTCAGAAGCATGGGCAACAACATCAAAATAGGCAAACAGAATTGCATCAAACTATAAAGCGTCTGCACAGCAAAAGGAAACCATCAAAAGCATGAGACAATCTATAGAAAGGGAAAAAATATTTGCAAGTTATACATCTGACAAGGGATTTATAACAAATTACACTAGAGAAATTCAAAGAGTTCATGGAAAAATGGAGTTAAAACATGAGCTTACTGTGCTGCACAAAATTTTGAAATCTATTCTTTTTTTATAATACACATTTTACATGAACTTTTTCAATATTCTTGTATAAGAAACTTAAATAGTTCACCAGCAAAAAACAAAACTAAACAAATAACTCAATTTAAAAAGGGGGCAATTGACCTGAACAGTCACTTCTCAAAAGAAGACATATAAAAGGCCACCTAAGTGCATGAAATATAGCTCGACATCACCACTAATCAGAGAAATTAAAATTTAAAAAAGGATTATTCCAGTTAGAATAATCATTAAAATAAAAAATAGCAGGTGCTGATGAGGCTGAGGAGAAAGAGGAACTATGGTGCATTTTTGGTGGTAATGTCATTATGGAAAACAGCATGGATATTCCTGAAAAAAAATTAAAACTATAATACCTTACAATCCAGTAATCTCACTACAAGGTATATTGTCATACTGAATGAAATCAGTATGTCAAAGAGATATCAGCACTTCCTTGTTATTTTGCAACATTATTCACAAAAGCTAAGACATGGTGTCAACCTAAATGCCCATATAGTGATGAATGGATAAGGAAAATGTAGTATATGTACACAATAGGATATTATTCCACTATAAATTTCTCCTGTCATTTGGGGCAAAATGTATGAAACTGGAGAAAATGATGTCAAGTGAAATAAGCCAGGCACTGAAAGACAAATTCCATATGTCCTCACTCATTAGCAGAAGTTGAAAGATTTGACCTAGAAGTAGAGAGTGTAATCCTAGATACCAGAAGCTGAAAGGGAAGCAAGGGGATAGAAAGAACATCATTAAAAAATACAAGAGTGCATATAAATAAGAGGAATGGGTTATTGAACAAAATAATGCAGTAAAGATGGTTGATAATAATTTACAATGTATTTGAAATGTACAACACAGTAATGACAAATGTTGGAGATGGTGGAAATATTTACTGCCCTGATTTGATCACATGTTGTATACATGTTTTGAAACACCACACTACCACATAAGTATGTACTACTATTATATGTAAATTAGAAATTACAATTTTAAAAATCAGTCAGCACCATTATTCACATAAAATATGGCATTAACTAAAAAAATTAAAAATGAATTTGCAAGTTGACTGTTTTGGGGGGTTTTATTTTGTTTTGAGATTATATAATAAATAATATTTTTCTACATACTTTCATACCCAGATTAATTTTTTCAAGATTATTTAGGATTGATTATTATGTCTCTTGTAATAGGTTAAAAATAAATCTGCTTTATAGAGTTCTGTGAGATATGTGAAGAATTTATTATTTAGAACTATAATTGCACAAAGTCAAGAACAAAGTTACTTTTAAAGTTTGGCATTGCCAAAACCTAAAAATTAAAGTCTACATTGGAATAGCATCATTTGTATTATCATTCTGTAAGACTGGATCTACTTACAGGATTCAAAGGATTATATTATCTTAAGAAATGCAAAGTAAAATGAACCTTATTTTTTATTTTAGACCCATCTTCTTCTAATTGAGTGATTTTTGGCAAACTGTTTTTCTATTTCAACAATTTTCAGTAGTCTTATATAAAGGGATATAATGTTATTTTGACTTTAATTATTTCTTCTGAAGATTAAATCCATTTGTTTTTAGCATAGTACATGGCATATAGTAGATTCTCACAAATATTTGTGATTATTACATTTTATTTCTACAGTGGCTTCCTAATTGATCTTTTAGGGGCTGGGTGGCAACATATCAGTGTCACAAATGGACCCACATGGAAAATTCTTGTGTTTGCATTCCAGGATCTCCCTGTACATGCCACTGCACACACTCATGCTAATAATCCAGGCTGGTCAAGGTTGTGGGTGGATTGTGGTGTGAAGATCCTGTTGTGGGTACCTGTTTCTCTTTGTTTCTTGCTCATGAAATAAACTTTAAAAAAAATCACAAAAACATATAATACTCAATAAATGTCAAATATCATATTCTATCTACATCATGAAAAATCAATAAATGATAAGTGTTATTATTAAAAGTTCAACATTGCTGTAATGTAACAGTTATAGTATAGTGACTAACATAGTTATTATATAACTTGCATTTTTAGAGCTTTTAAAAGAACTTATATATCACTTTTATTTCTATATCATACCAAAAGATAGTTTTGTCCAGTTGGAAAAATATTAAAGAGAATATTGAAATATGTATATGACAGTGAATAAATAGCTTTTACTCTATAAGTATTAATTTTTATAAAACTTCAGTTGTCAAATCTTACCAAGCTGTGCTGAGGGAAGCAGCTTGAATCTACTAAGCTTAATATGATAATACAGGAGAGAGCAGATTAGACAGAACTTAGTGTCTGTTAAAAATTTGCTAAATATTATTCATCTATCAATAAGAATAAAGCCCTAATCTTCAAAATAAAATAGTCACCAGGGCCGGCAGGTGGCATGATGGTTAAGGTGCTGGACTCCCACGTGGTGAACCATGGTTCGAGTCCCAGACCTGGTAGCTTGCTCTCTCTCTCTGTCTCTCTCTGATCAAATTTAAAAACCTAATAAGTAAAATAAAATAACTCTTTAAAAAATAATAAAAGAGTCACCAAAGAAACAAAATGAAATAAAAAATATTGGGACAAAATATCACCTATGATGTACTTTTTAAACTTCTCTTTGAATGAACAAAAAGCAAGTTTTTTGTTTATTTTAACTCCCAAAGAGTGTGTGAATTCACCAGAGAAAGAAAGAGAGAAAGCAACCCCAATGGGGCACGGTCATCCTGCAATTGTTTCTTCTCCATTTCTCCATCCTTTCAGAATTGTGGGCACATGTGCACATATACCTGGTATGTTTTTTAAGTTGCTGGGACAGGGATTTGAACTATAGTTGATCATGTATGATCTGACTTTCCTAACTACTAGTCTAGGGAACTGGCCCTCAAAAAAGTTTTTAATGAAATAAGACAATGCTTAGGACACAAAATTGTGTAATAAAGTGGGACTGGCAAGTGGAGTGGTGGTTGAGGCTCTGGACTCCCACATAGCCAGCCATGATTCAAGTTCTGGACCTGGGAGCCCAAAAATCACAACAAATAAACAGACAAACAAATATATAAATGTTTTTTTAAAAATTGTGTGATAATATTAATAAATTTTAGCCAACTAAATGAATATTTTTAGCAAGAAAAACATAAATCAAAATAATATTATCAATTTTTTGGTGTTAGAGTTATAGATTATTTTTATTTTCATTTGTAGAATTTATAGCCTAAAAGATATTTAAATAAGAAAATAAATTAAAAATTAGAATATTTAGCACAGTTTGATGTATTAGGCTCTTAATAAATGTAGAATACTAAACGGTATTTAATTCATTGCTTTGCAAAAAGCTAAAGTACAGTTCTTTTTATTAATATTACCTCACCAGGTAGCTCCACTTGTTGAGTTTTCTGGAAGCTCTCTTAACCCTGTCCCTGTGAGTCTTTATGGAGACTTCATTGCATGGGCATGAGATGTTAGACTAGAGGCAAGGACCCTGCATGGACTGTCTATTCAAATGCTTGGCCTCTTTGTGGAGTACTCCTTAATCCCCTGGTATAGAACAAGACCTTTCTGGGAGGGACTTAAAGGTGGGGGAAATTTGGAGTTTCTATGATTTGCTTTCAGGCTAAACGGTATTTAATTCATTGCTTTGCAAAAAGCTAAAGTACAGTTCTTTTTATTAATATTACCTCACCAGGTAGCTCCACTTGTTGAGTTTTCTGGAAGCTCTCTTAACCCTGTCCCTGTGAGTCTTTATGGAGACTTCATTGCATGGGCATGAGATGCTAATAGACTAGAGGCAAGGACCCAGCATGGACTGTCTATTCAAATGCTTGGCCTTGGTATAGAACAAGACCTTCTGTATCCCTTGGTATAGAGCAAGACCTTTCTGGGAAGGACTTAAAGGTGGGAGAAATTTGGAGTTTCTATGATTTGCTTTCAGGTAGGTGAAAGAAGAAACTTTCACCTTTCTCTCAAGCTGTTCTGAAGTTGCATCAGGAACCAAGGACAAAAGGCAGATACTTACGAAGCAGAAATCATGGATGAAAACGAAAATGTATACATCATAACACCACAGTAACCACTAGACAACATAGCTATTGTCCTAGACAACAGCAGTTTTTACTGGTGTGTTAGGAATCAATTCCAAAAAAATGAGGAGTGAAAAGAGAAAAAAAAAAGTTAAAACAACATAGACTTCTATTTAAATGAGCTGAATAGTAACAGAAAAAATTGACAACTTGTTCAATATATTTTCCTGATACTGATTATGTGTAGGTTAGCAATGCTTTGAGGAAATTGATAATTTTTGCATAACTTTCAGTAGTTGCTTTCAATATTTAGCTTCCATTGTATGTTGCATGTATGATAGTACAAAAATTTGGATATGCATTAATATATGTAAATAGAGTACTCTGTAAATGTACTTTGGGACCTGAATTTCCTATTTTAATTGGCAGCCATGATGAAATTACAGAAAATTTGAAAAGGGTATGCACTAATTTTTGTAAAAAGTAAAAATAAACTGCATTATAGTAGCTTACTTAGAGAGGGTGGGGAAGAATGGGAGATAAGGAACAGATTGTTTAACTGGGGATCTTTTTAATTTTACCTTTCAGATGATAAATCATTCTATTACCTTGCCTCCTTTAAAGTCTCAAATATCAAATACAAAGAAAATTATGCAGTGAGATCCTCAAGAGAGTTTACAGAAAGGAGTCATCAGATTGAGAGAATGGTGAGCTCAATAGAAATTTTAAATATTTCTGAATGTGGCTTTCTGCCTCACTTTGAATGTGGCCATTACAGTAACTTAGTTTCCTTGTGTCTCAATTTCTTCTTCTGTGAAATGAATATGACAGTATCTAACTCATACAGTTGTGAAGATTAAATGACATAACACATGTAAAATATTTAGAATAGTAATGTTGTGCACCATTAAGTGTATGTAGATTAGAGAAGGCAAGTAACTAGTTCCTGATGACATTGTTGATTGGCATAAATGTCTACTCTATGTTTAATTCTTGATTTTACCTTTCCTGGTGCACTTTGTCTAATTTTATTTAATTTCAGAATACAGAATTGCTACACTCATCATTTTATTTTGTTTTTGAAAGCATGTATAGAGTCATATAAAAGAATGTATTGTGCCGATAATTCTATCTTTTTTAAAGATTTTTGAGGGTGGACCTGCAGATAGAATAATGGACTCATATGTAGTTGACCACAGTTCAAGTCCCAGACCTGGCGGCTTAAAATTCATGCCAGGCACATTTGTGTGTGTGTCCAAAATCCTATAGGAGAATGGAGGAGAAGGGATTGTGGAATGGCCATCCTCCCCGGGGGAGGGGGGTGATGGGTGACTTCTCGCTTTCTGTCTCTCCATCACTCTCTGTATCTGTCCCAAGTGCACATGCTCTAAAATTTTTTTTTAAAAGATATTTTGCCTATAAGGGTGGAGTGTTCACCAGGAAAGTGAGAAATCATCTGG